CATTTATGAAAGTAACGTCGGTGATGAATGTGGAGCTATAAACGCCCTCACTGGGGGCATACTCTCACACTGACCTCTGATTTTGTATGCAAGTACTTTTTTGTCCATAGCGTTGATACGTTGTTGTTGTTGTTGTTGTTGTTGTTGTTTACATTGTTTATTTAGGAGGAGTACGAGAAAAAAAAAACAACGGGACCCAGACTCGCCAAAACTCGGTGTGAAGTGAAATTCAGGTTTGTTTAAATCAGGTGCGGGTGTACTTGTGGCTTAAGGCAGATTCATTCAAGTCTCTCCTATATGTTTTTTCTCCCTTGTGAAAATAAACGGGCTCTACGTGATTGCCACAGTTGAAACGAATAACGACAAATAAATAAATAAATAAATAAAATTCCTCTTTAGTAATGCACCTTGTCCGGAAGCACAGTACATTTGTTTTTCCATAGCCAACTGGAAAAAAAATAAAAAATAAAGATTTGGATCGAATCTCGCTTTTGAGTTCCCCTGTACTGCCAACAGTCAGTGGGGAGCCTAGGTTATTTTAGATTCCAACTAAATCTTAGCTTGTGGTCGCTGAATCGAGCCTCTTCCTTTCCGTAGTGAACTGAAATTGAGCATGAGTTCTAAAAAAAGAGAGTTAACCCAACGATCATGTAAGTATGGAATCGATCCCTAAATCCTTTGCAAATGAATTTAGTCAATTACCTACTAAGTTAGCTCCCACTTCAGGTATAAGTGGCTTAAATATCACATAAGCAGGGTTCTGTCTGTTGGTGCTTTGTGTCCCAAAAACCAGTGTAGTTGTTTTTCGGGTCTTGCCTTTTCTGCCCCGGCCGCGTGGTCGGGACTTCTATCAAATTTTACATCCCTTATCCAGGCATGCGACAGATCGAACTGTTCGGCACGTGCGACTTCATTCCGTCTTTTTTCTATCTGTTATAACAATCCCAACTGTAAGGACGAGTGTAATTATATGAAAATTTTAAACGTCGTAAGGCTATGGTCCAGTCAGTACTCGTTTTCCTAAACATATTTTTATCACGTTGACGGTTCATTCCATCAAACTTCTTTAGTTATTTCGCCTCCTCACCATCCGCGGTCAGGGTTCTTTAATAATCTAACACTTTCTTTATCTTACAGCGTCCCGCGTCGTGGCGTATGCCGCTCATCTCAGGTCTGACCGTCCCTGACTTTTCCTTCTTCGTCAACCAACTCCTCCGTCTTTTATGGTCGAGGGGGTATCCTAACCTTTTTAGTGTGTGACACATCCGTATGCGCTTCGGCAGAGCAATCAAATAGTTCACGAGCCTCGACCTTTCTTTGATCAAGAGACCCATCGTCAAAATTTACTCTGACGAGCACGTGTTTTTGCTCACCTTGGGCTGACACCATCATGGCGACTGATGTCGTGGTTGTGTTAAATGTAAAAATGAGGGCAAATACCCTTGTAAGGGTATTAGCCCTAACAACGACTCACCTAATGGTAAAGCTACTGCAACGCTTAAGCGACTCGTTCTTCAGTCGTTCTATGTCGCAAAGGATGTATCCCCCGTAACATCTCATATGTTCGTGCATAATTAAGCATTATGATGTTGTTCGAACTTTATTATTCATTTTAAATGAGATCGTGCAATATGTGGTCTGTTTCTTTCACGTTTGTTTAAGTTATAGGTTTGGGAAGCTGAAGAAGGAACTAGTTTGAAACATATGTTATGAATCTCTTATTTTTATGAGAGTTGCGTCGTTAAACTTTATGCCCTAGTCAACTGGAGTAAGACGGCAATCGAGAGTTCGATTCGAGCGTTTACCATGAGTACCCCTTATGGTATAACGTACAAGAAACACGCTCGCTTGATCCATCTTTGCGATTGTATTATACAAACGTTCGTACGGGGATGAATAGCTCATCGTGGACACGCCCGCCTAAGGGATGGTGACAACTTCCACGAGTGAAGATAAGTTTTACCTCGTGGGACCTGTCCTGTTGTTGAGACTCAATAGTGGTATAGCTGGCGCACTTAGTCGGAGGAGCATTGTTGCTTCTTTCGTTTTTGTGTCCTTCAATTCTGCCAATTCTATATAACATGGTCGGGAGGGTCCCCTATGAGGGACCGATGCGCTCGAACTGCACAAAACACCTAGGCCTCACCACGTGGGCCTTGTCCGTGGGCCTCACAGTCGGGCTTGCTCTTCGACACCAGCATCCTCCAACCTTGTCATCCGTTAAATGTCTTTCTGGCCACGGGTTGCATGCCCATGCCATGAGTGGCCTCCAATTCTTTTGAAGTTGCGTCTATAAGCAAATGTTCGCAGCCCTAAGACTGTGGTATAGTGGGCTTCGACGTCTGTGTCAAGGTGTCACATTTTCGGCATCGGGCGACTAGGACGCAAAGTGGGTTCTTAGGGGGCAAAAAAATTTGGGGGACCGGTCCTTGGCAAAATTACGGACTACGTACAACTAGCTCTGGTAAAACCGGGGCTTTTGAAAAAGGAAGGATCGGTCCTCGGATGGAAGCGGACCCCAAAAAGAAGTGGGGGGCGTTGGAGTGGTCCTCGGGTGGATGCAGACCCCCAAAACAAGTTAGGGCATGTGAACTGCAAAAGGGTCCTCAGACCCAGAGGTTAAGGCTCGTCTTCTCAAAACAGGGAGGTCAGGCGCAACGAAACAAACATTTTGCTAGAGGTCACTTTGGGGATTTTTTGTGCTTAGAGGAACCTGCAGAAAAATCTGAAATTTTGAGAATCCATAGATGAGGACGTGTTCTTTTTAGGTAAAATATTACAACATTTTTAAAAAACTATTTAAACCGCGAAATAATTGTCGCACCGATTTGGCACATTTTTCATTTTTGCCACTCACCCATATGTGGGCCAATTGAAAAACTACTCCAAATTCAATGAGTTTTCACGCTTAGAAGAATGTGTGAAAAAGTGAAAATTAGAGTACTCAGAGATTTTGTTGTCATCTTTCCAAGAAAGGCGCTAAATAAATTAAAACACATTCATTCCAAATGTGAAATAGATTGCGGCCGTAATTTGACCCATATAGCCTCTCTCTCTCTCTCTCTCTCTCTCTCTCTCTCTCTCTCTCTCTCTCTCTCTCGTGCGTGCTTTTAGTCTCATTGCTTTGGCTACCTTAAGGCTGCGTTCCCCGCACCCACGCGGTAGACAATTTAACCATTTTTTTCCTATCCAACCCCCCACTATAGTCTGCTAATACTTTCTTGAAAGTTACCGGTTCTCTAATCGACAGGACCATTCAAAACAAATTGACTTACCGTGAGGGCACGGGTGCGCAGCCCGTAGTTCGTTTGTTGATGCGGTTGGGGAAGGATGAGGTAGTGATTATGGTGTGCGTATGTTTTGCTATGTTCGTTGTACACAACTCGAAGAGTGTGTGGGAAGGGGGGAGGCGGATGGTGCTCTATTAACGATGTTCATGGGACGCTGGACCCAGTTTCCAGCAGGTGCCGCTCCCCACCCATAGACAACAGAATGTGTGTGTGTGTGTGTGTGTGTGTGTGTGAGAGAGAGAGAGAGAGAGAGAGAGAGAGAGAGAGAGAGAGAGAGAGAGAGAGAGAGAGAGAGAGAGAGAGAGAGAGAGAGAGAGAGAGAGAGAGAGAGAGAGAGAATTACCTCTAGCTTATTTTCTCTGTGCCGTATGAGTTAGCTCGCAATTCCTAAATGGGGTGCTGAACGTTGGGGCGTTGAATACGTCCATGTTCAGACACATCTGTTTGCACTTGCAAATGAAATGCAGGTGTGTCGTTTCAACCTGCGGCCAAGGCCGCACCCTTTTCGATTCAGACTTCCTCAGGGGGGGAAATGTGTCAGGGGGGGAAAACGCACCCCTGACGGGCTGCGAACAGTTACCCGTGCTACTCTTCCACAACCCCGTTAGAACCCATATACAGCTGGTTGTCTAAACCCAAAAAAGGTGAGCCTTGGGTATAAACACGTGATGCTGCCATGATGCAGCCTTTAGGGCTGTGAACAGACGCCACATCCTGCTATGCCGCAGCCTTCAGGGCTGTGAACAAGTGCCACACCCTGCTCCATTGCAGCCCTTAGGGCTGGGATCTTCGTGGCAATAAAGGTGGATCGAAGCCCAAGGCCAGGCCCAGCTGGTGCTTGTGTACTTTCAAACACATACATCCAGGGCATGCCCTCCCTGTAGGCACCCTAGACGAGTTAGGGTTATAAAGCGATTGCTATGCGATCGAGCGGGGAAAAGAGAAGCGAAAATTTGCAATTGTGTACAACGAAAGTCAAAGTGGCAAAAAAGAAAAGGGGGATTGCTGCGGGCAGAGCAATTGAACAGCACGAGCTGGTTACCGACCTACAGGTGCCCGCCATGTGGGGTGGGCAGCAGCAGCAGCAGCACGACGGCAGGGTCTGCGCGTCGTCCGTCTTATCCGTGTGGCGCGCGGGGGCCTGCATCCCCCCCCCCCTTACGGTTGGTTGCTCGCCGGCCCCCGGGCGCGCCAGTCCCTGCGCTGCTTGCTCAGGCCGTCTAGCGCGCACCGGGGAGCCGGGCCGGGCAGACCACCGTATGCGGGATATAGCCAATGGCGGCGCAGAAAACAATCATCAGGCGGAGGAAGACGATCGATCGGGCGGGAGGAAATCGGAAGGTGAAGGTGAAATTGCGCGGCGAGCAGCGGAGAGGGCGTGAGATGAGAGAGAGCTGAATCTCATCGGCGGCGGAGCTTATTTGCAAACGAACTGCCGCGCAAAACGAACCCCGGGGCCATCGATCAGGGCCATCGACGTCTGCCATAGCTCGCCGGGCGCAGAGGAAGGCGGGCGCGCTCAGAGGGGAGCGGCGGTGGCTTTTTTTTTTTTGCGCTAACCGACCGGCGGGGCGGGCTGCAGAGTCGGCTGGGTGGCGCCACGCGGTGGTGCTGGCGCATCCTGCTGGCGGGGTTGGTGGGAGGTGGGAGGTGGCAGGGGGGACTTCGACGGCGGGTCGGCGGGCTTGGCCGCGACCGTCCGTGCGGGCGTCCGTCCGTTCGTCCGTCCGTCGGCGCCCGCGTCCCGTCCCCGTGCGCGCGAGCGACCGACTGCGGAAAGTGTAACCAAGCGCATCTAGCGAGGGATTGCTGGGAGACGGACGGTGGTGAGAGGTGGAGGAGAGAAGCAAGTGAAAGAGAGAGAAAGAGAGACACCGAGAGAGAGAAAGAGGTTGGGAGGGAGGGAGGGTAGGTGAGGGCCACCATGGCCCAGCAGCCAATGACGATGATGGGCGCGCAGGCGCAGCTGCAGTACCCCGGAATGGGGCAGCAGCCGCAGCTGGGGCCCCCGATGCCGACTCAATATCAACAGGCACCGGCGGGAGGTCAAGCGGCACAGACCCAGGTAGCTCCGGCGGCTGCCCCTTCGGCGCCGCAGCAGGTTGAAGTGATTCACCCCAACAGCAGCAATTCACGTCTTTTACAACCACCTTATACGAATTTATATCTCTCGCCCTCCTTCCATCCATGCACGCACATTCGTTCCTCTTTTTTTTTGTCTGCTAATCTTCTGTTACTCAATGCGATTGATGGTCCTACTGACTACAGGAGTAGGAGGAGCACACCCCTCTCTCCTCTCTCGTAGCCTTCAGAACACAGCAGAAGCCCCAACACGGCCTAGAATCATTCTCCTCTGCAGCCATATGCCAGAGCTCCAATGACTGCACACCTCACACCTGTGCGACTAACTAATTCTTATCACCCGTGCGACTCGCTAATTCCAATCATGCGGAGTCTCAACGTGCATATCCTTCCTTCATACGCCTTTGCTACCCATCATCATCATAATCATCGTCATCGTACACGTAACAACTCCATCGATCTCGTGCTCAAATCCGAAAGAATGGAACGGCAAGGAGGACAGTCCGGCTATGAATCGTATGCCGGCGAGCGTCGTCTCCTCTTTCTCTGCTTTTTTCATGTCGTTTATCCTCCAATCGTTTCACTCACCCGTCCACCTTAATTGGTCCTCCTTCGCGCGCCAGTCCAAGAACCTTCGTCTCTTTCAATTGGCTATGGCGCCTTCTTCTTTGGGCGTCTTTCTCTCCTGTCCAAGGAACCTTCTTCCTTCGGTTATGGATTCGGCGATGGCGTCGCCGAGTAGCCTCTTCTCCTTGGTTCTTGTTCTTGATTCAATCCTCGTTCGATCTCTCTCCTGCTGTCTTGCTCTTCCCGCAGTGAATGGTAATGTGATCCATCTTTCTTCTTCCTGTTTTCCTCCTCTTCGTCTCACTGTGTCTCCTGATATCCCCATTTTGTTTTCGGCTCTTCGGATGCACTCTCTCTTTTGACATTTCTTCCCCCTGATTTGTTTTGCTTGACGTTTCTTCTTCGTTTCCTCGTAGAAGATTTCTTCGTTCGTGTCTGCTCTCTCTTCTGTTTCTTCACGTTCCTTATCTCTCCGTCTGCTTCTCTCTCTCTCTCTCTCTCTCTCTCTTTCTTTCTTTGTTGTCTCTCTCCATCCTCGGGGTGTCTTCGCTTCTGCAGTTGCTGTTCTTTCTCCTTCGTGCATCCCGTTCTTCTTCAGCTGCCTACTGCCGTTACTTTTTCCGTTGAATTGTCCTTTTCAGAAGGCCCTTCGTCTTCCTTCTGCATCATATCTTCGCGCGCCCTATTTTTATGATTGCGGTTGTGCAGTGCTTCCAAGGTCTCTCTATCTCCCTCTGTTTACCGCCCAGTACGCGTCATACATCATACGATAAGAAAGGAACACCAAAAAAAAATCGTTTATTCAACTACCATAAGAACGAGTCTGTTCAAGGAAGATAGTCAAGGAAGGCAACTCACTGAGATAGATATATATATATAGCTTGTGATGGGGTGTGAACC